TAATAATTAAAAAAATATGAACAAAAGACAATTTTTTAAAACTTTTTTTTTAGCTTTTTTTTTTCTCAAAAACGGCTCTAACGATTTTCTTTAAAACCTTAAACTGTATAGCCCTTGAGATTCCTTAAATTTTGGTATATAACACTTTCTAATATTTTCTCATTCGGCACGCTGCAATAGAAAATGCCTGTGAAGGGAAAAATGCTGGAATAGTTTGCTAGGGCGGGCCGAATGAGAAAATATTAGAAAGTCTATTTAATGACGAGTGTAATAATTTTTCGTCACAAATGTTGATATCAGAACTTTTGTATGTTGAAGGTGCGGTCGTCACTAGTTTTTTACCTCGTTAAGAGGTGTTTTTATTTGATATTGTATACTCCTTTCTCTCAGTGCACCCTCTAACAGGTGCCGAGCCCCATCGAACCGAAAAATGCCGAAAGACAGAGCCAAAATCTTTATAGACAATACGTAAACAAACGGCGAGTGCAGGAGACCAGGCACCGAGGAGTACGAGTATTTTGTTGAACATCTCTGTGTAAATAAACCTCGGGGCCCCAAAACTTTGATCTCGCAGAGGAGGAGGGACTGCGGCGGGATAGTATACTCTTGGTACTGGCCGTTTGATGTTTTGGACTGGCGTCAGCGCCGGCGCTTCCAGCTGCCAAATTGCTGCTTTATTAGCTGCGTAAGTGGCTCCCCCCGATTCCCAGGTGGAGGGGGGCATTTGTGTCTGCTTTTTGACTATGATTAGATTGGGTGCGCCTATCTCACGGATGGCATCGCTCGATTTGAGCGATTGCGGCCAATAAAACAGCGGGTGAGGAGGCAGAGGCAGGCGAGCTGACAAGGTGGCAATTAAACAGCTTGTCTAATTACCCTGCACCGGTTCTCAAAGGCGAATGGAGGCCAACAATCAAGGCGATGGTGTGAAGGAGGAGTCAGGTTTTGGCCACGGATTCGGCTGCCTCGGGGCTAATTGGCCACGTTTACCATTGTCTATATCCACTGGGCAACTGGGCAGCCTTAGGTAACTCGGACAGGTGTGAGCTTTCCATTCGACTCCCCTTTCTGCGCAGAACGGAAGCTCTCGTAAATTGCCGCAACAAGCTACCGATGACAGTGGAGCGGAGGCGGTGGCCATATGAAAATGAGATCGCTTTGTATGCAAATGCCTGGGAATCGAATTGCGAATCGGGAATCGCACAATCTCATTGCGACTTTGTGCCAAGACAATCGAAGCCTCCCTTTTCGGGCTGTGTGGGCGATGCAGGGTATTCAATTGTTAAAACGTGTTTACACATGCAGAAGAAGCAGTAATTGATTGCATTACGTACCAGTTTTGTTTAAATTTTAACCATAAAGATATACTCAATTTAAATAATATTTTAAGTTTAAAATACTTGTAAAAAAAATTTAAGTTCTTTAAACTGCTATAAATTTTTAACTAAATATACTTTTCACTCCACTTGTACATATATATAAATAGTATTCTATTTAAAGCACTGATAAAGAATTGATACGAAATGATGATATACAATGAATTACAATTTCCAATATCTATCATACTTTGATTATCAAGTTTATCCTGGCATTTTTCTGTGTGTTGATTTAGATTCCAATTAATATTATCACATTACCTTGAAGATGAACATAATCACCTGTCTCTGCATTACCTTATTTTGAACCAACAAAAAATCGAAATTAATCAATCAATAACCAAACCACAGCTCCAACCATTCCTCTGATATCAAGGAACTCAAGAATGCACAACGGAGGAAAAAACAATCATCGATGTCGAACAAAAACAAAACTCAGAGTCTGAGGTCCCAACTTTCTGCACGCGGAGGAGCTCCTGCAGGAGCAAAAAACAGGGAAAGGAGCAGGGGAGCCGCAGGGGAAGCAAAGTGGGAGCTGCCCCATTGCATACCCCATAACGTAGCAAGTTTGAATATACTCGTACCCGTAAGATTCCCGAGTATATTAGGTAGCAAAATTTTTACGAGCTCATTATGGCTCATTTCGGCGATTGTTGTGATCCTTTTATGCGCCTTCGAATGGCTTCAAATGGTTATGAGGCTATTTCTCTGTCATCCCCGCGAGTCCTTCGCACTCGTGTCCTTCCCCTGGGTGCCGAGTTCCTTGGTCCTGGATTGCGAGTTTCTGGGTCCTGGATTCCCGACTCACGATATTTAGTTTTCAGTTGCGACTGCGATTTTTACTTTACTTTTGCTTTGCTCTGGGTCTTCTCGCCTTCTGCCTTCGTTTTCCTTGGGCTTTTGGCCGCATATTTGGAAAATGTCACCGCGTCTCCGAATGTGATTCGAATGTGTGTGTTTGTGCGGCTGTGTGTATCTGTGTTTTGTGCAAGTTTTTGTATCTTTCGCTTGTTGTTGATTTTTCAGACTTGGCACCAAAAATTTGGGGGATGGAAAATGGCGCAGGCGGGAGGGTTGGGGGTGGGAAAAGTAGAAAAGTAAATTTCTTCTTATAATAAGTTTATTTTGCAAACACTTGTGGCAAGCAACTTTGTTTGTTCGTCGTCGGTTTCTGGCTTAATCTACGAGCCGTTTGTGCGAATGTGGAAACTTTGACAAATATTTGCGAAACTTTCGCGAATGGCCCGGCGTTCTCGGTCTGCAAGACCCCGATCTATTTGCATTATGCATATGAATTTATTAGCATCAATTCGCAGCCATATTTACATTGACATTAATATCCCATTGAAAGTATTGGCGAACGGATTGAACATTTGGATTCGAATGCGAATTTGAATGTGAATAGGAAAAGGAAAACCGCAGCACACAAATTTTCCGGCTCCTCGGTTGAATCACAGTTGAAAGGCAAACCGGAGGAGAAGTACACTTTGATATACATTTCTTGACAATCAGTTTTTCTAATAAAATAAAACATTCCAAATTTTATGAATTTATATTGTACAAGCACGTCACCCAATTTAATGTTTAAAAGTTAAGTAAAAACAACTTTCTCAATTTTTATTCAATACAATGTGCTATTAGTTACAAATATGTTTTATCCGGTTATTATTATTATTATTAAAAAGAAAAAAATGTCTCATTACCTTAAGCCGACCGTCATGCTTGCTAAATACTTCTATAATATTTTCAATAATGTTTAATTATCTAATATCTGTAAGGCTCCAAACGTAACAAAAACTCAACATCATTTATACATATGTGCAACCTAATTTAATTACAATAAGAGATGTATATTTTATCAAAACAATATACAAACTTCTTAAACGTTGATTGATATTGATGAATTTTATGCTTTTAGTTCTGTATGCCTTCTTCATTTTTGCTATTTTACAATTATTGTTCTTTTGATTCCTTAAAATTAGAAATAATATATTGTTTAGCCGGCGGAAACATATTTTAGTAAGACAATTTATAAGTTGATTGTGTTATATTATGTAAATTCGTAAAGCGATTTCAATCCTTAGGTCTTTGTTCTCTTAAATATGTACAGAAAAGAAAGAAAAGTGTTAAATTTTACGTAAAATTATTTTAGGTTTAGGTTAAACTGGTTTATCTCTAAAACGATTAAAAAAAATTTAATTAATTTATTAAAATGTATTTTGAAATATAAAGCAATAGATTGTGATGTATAAATAAAAACAATTTTGTCAGTCCTCTACTGGCAGAAAAAGCAGCAAAAAAAAGTCATAAGTGCGGTGAAACCGACTAAAAGCGAGATGTGCATCGCTTGGCGTGCAACTGGCAACTGGCGGGCAGTCCACGGAGCGTTTTTCGCCACTGAGTTGAGTGAGTTGGTCTGGCCCATAGGAAAATCAGCCCTCCTCCATGATGAATTTCCCGCGGCGAGCGCATTTTCCCTGCTCGCGAATGATGAACGAGAGGCGCCCACCCCGGGAAATGCGGAGAGCGCAAGAGCGCTCAAACAAGTTCGAAGGCACCGAGCCGAGCGACGATTGAAAATGAATTCATCCAAGGGAATTCATCCGAGCGGGCTGGTTTGAGCACTCTCCGGCTCTCTGTTTTGGCTGGAGCGTTCATTCTCACTCGCTTTTGGCCGAGTCGAGTGGATTTTGGATGAGTGGTTCGGCGGAGCAAAGTCAAAACACTGGCAACTGCGATTTGGTGGCACATTCGTTTGATGGCAACGGTTTGGATAACAGGCGCGCGCTTTGTTTTATTATCCACATTATCAGCGGCATTATTGTTATTATTGGCCCTCAGCGCTTTTACCGCTCGCCCACGCGTCCGACCGTGAATGCCGCGCGGAAAATTCGCTTTCCACTAAATTGGCGATCCCAATCCCGATTCGAGGAAATCCGTCAGCAGAGCACTATCGCGCCCGTTCGGTCAGCACTAAGGCTAATAATCGTTTAAATCGTTAAAACCATAAAAATCATAAAAATAATAATAATAATTGCAATAACAATAAACATAGTAATAATCGTAACGCTTACGAGCCTTTGATAGTGCCAAGGCAAGCGCAAAACAAGTATTCAAATTCAAATTCGAATTCAATTAACAGCAAAGTGCAATTGGCTATAAAAACCAAAAACCCAAACGCAACAAAGTATACGAAACACTTGTGAAACCCAAAAAACAATAGTGGAGAAATATTTAAAATTATTTATGCGAGTTAAACATTAGTGCTTAGATCCTAAACTAAAGGCCTCGAGTGGAAAGTGCAATAATTAAAATTAACTTTACAAAAAATATTTACCAAACAAAAAATATTTTACAAATATTTAAGGAATTCAAAATTAGTTGATTTATCTTAAGAAAAAATTTCAAATTGGTTCTTAAAAAATACCGAAAAATCTTCAACCATATTAAACAAATAAAAGACATTTTGAAATCAAAAATCAAATAAATCAAAAACTTTAAAATCTTTCAAGCTTTAAAAAACTTGAAAAATCTCAACAATAGTTAAAAGTTATTCAAAAAGAAGGCAAATGAACACCCGACATAGCTGAGAAAACACTTGAAAATCCGCCAAAAATCGCAGAACCCTTGCAAAGAAACCCGTGCAAAATCAGTCAAGCCCCCAACGATTTTCAGCCCGTCTCTGACGGAGCACCGCCAAAATTCTCACCGCCAGCAGCGCAATGAACTCGTACTTTGAGCAGGCCTCCGGCTTCTATGGCCATCCGCACCAGGCCACCGGAATGGCGATGGGCAGCGGTGGCCACCACGATCAGACGGCCAGCGCAGCGGCGGCGGCCTACAGGGGATTCCCCCTCTCGCTGGGCATGAGTCCCTATGCCAACCACCATCTGCAGCGCACCACCCAGGACTCGCCCTACGACGCCAGCATCACGGCCGCCTGCAACAAGATATACGGCGACGGAGCCGGTGCCTACAAACAGGACTGCCTGAACATCAAGGCGGATGCGGTGAATGGCTACAAGGACATTTGGAACACGGGCGGCTCGAATGGCGGCGGGGGTGGAGGAGGCGGCGGCGGGGGCGGCGGAGCGGGCGGAACTGGAGCCACTGGGAACGCCAACGGCGGCAATGCGGCCAATGCAAATGGACAGAACAATCCGGCGGGCGGCATGCCCGTCAGACCCTCCGCCTGCACCCCAGACTCCCGAGTGGGCGGCTACTTGGACACGTCGGGCGGCAGTCCCGTCAGCCATCGCGGCGGCAGTGCCGGCGGCAATGTGAGCGTCAGCGGCGGCAATGGCAACGCCGGGGGCGTACAGAGCGGCGTGGGCGTGGCCGGAGCGGGCACCGCCTGGAATGCCAACTGCACCATCTCGGGCGCCGCTGCCGCACAAACGGCGGCCGCCAGCAGTTTACACCAGGCCAGCAATCACACATTCTACCCCTGGATGGCTATCGCAGGTGAGTGTCCTGAAGATCCGACCAAAAGTGAGTGTCCACTGTAGCACAAGTCCACTTAAAGTCCCCCAAACATCCCCCATCCCTTCTATGTGTGCATGTACCAAAGCTTTGTTGTTTCCCCAGTTGTTATCAGGCTCAACAGATTGCAGCTAAGGCAACAAAAGTCATCCTGTGACTAATTGCCGTCTCTGCTCCGATTCACAGACAAAGTCAACATGTAATGGCAAAATAATGAAGAGCTCAAATCGATCGTAGGGAAAACAGATAATCGGCCATCACAATAAAGTAGCCAAGTAAAATAAATAAAGGCGGTGAAAACAGACATTTATATGAAAATCTTATTGGAAATCAAACATTAAAATATTTAAAAAAATTAGTTTAAAAAATACTTTTAAATCGGTTTTCAAATAAAAAATAATAAAAAAGCATTTGTACACCAACAAAAATATTAGAAAATTAGTATTTTTCGAAGTAAAAAGTATAAAAATTTTTTGTTAACAATTTAAAATGAACAATTTCCTGAGAAAATAGTTTAACAGCATATCCTGTTACTTAAACTTTATTTTATAGAATTTCGACATCAATTATAAAAGCTCCATAGTTTTTAAATAAATATTAAAAAAAAAACAGAAAAAACGGTTAAAAAAAAATATTTTAATGAACTAATTGTGCTTTAGGGTCTTTAATAAAATTGTTTCCCAAGCATTTATACAATTTAGTAACAATCAATTGGAAAAATATTTAGATTTAATGAAATTTTTTTTTTTGTAAAGAAATTGCAAACCAATTTTTCCCAGACTTTTTATGTGCTTCTAATATTAAATTGATCTTAAAAAAATCTGAATTATTTTCGCATACTTATATTTAAATTTTTTAAATGCCAACAAGATTTTTATCGAGCAATAATACACTTATCAAAATTTATTTAGCATGAAACATAAAAAAACCTGTTTTTCAATAAATAAAATTTAAAATGTGAAATTTTCGAGATTGGTAAATCACTTTATAAACCCATGCGAAACGAGCTCTTAGAAATTCCTTTTGGCCAAAAGACTTTGAATGAACTGCAAATTGTTTTCCACTTATTCTATTTAAAACCCCCTATTTGGGTTGCCAATCTGGCGATAGTTTATTCGCTGGCCGGCAATTTAAGCGATTTAATCACTCTAAGCAAGATCAGGGCCATAAACAAGAGCCATGGGTAGTCTGGAAAATGGGCGAAGAAACCAGCTCAGACCAGACCCTCCGAATCCACCTGCTCCGCTCCGCGACACCTTGCAGCGCTACGGCTGCCTCATAATTTTCAACACTTTGTTTACTAATTTTTGTCACCTTTGCTTTTAATGATGCTCGGCGGTAATTGTTGCAGCGCTGGCTGCCCAAGTGAGCTGCAATTTGTGCAACAAGAGAGCGGCAACGAGCAGCACGAAGTTGAGTTATGGCATGCGGCTGAAAGAGCTGCAAAATAGCAAAACAGAAAAGGCAGAAAATAGCAGAAGGCAGCCACAGAAGTCGGCGAGAAGGGGCAAGAATCCTTTCAGGACACACACTGCGCGCAGAAGTCGCGCTTATTACGGTTAACTACGCCATTATGTAATTACGTTTAGCACCTCGCCGCCCGACTTTTTCCACGGGTTTAAGCCACCAGCCGAGCGAGGCGAACGGCTTGTGTCTGAGATTGCCGTTTGGGCCAAGAACAATGCCAAGAGTAGGTCAGCCGAAGGAGGTCTAGGTGCTCGAAGATCGAACATAAATTGCACTCAAGGTGGCACTGAGAAAAATAAGGTGTATCAAGGGTCGAAAGATATTATATGAAAAAATTAATAATTACGCAGTCTTGACTTCGTATAATATTTAACATTAAAACTTAATTTAAATACCTCTTAATATATAGCTTAATTACTTCCGGTTTTTTCTGTGTACTGCGAAGAGCTCGTAAAAAATACCCTTCAAAAATCAATCAAATTTCACTTATAGCCAACGCGAAGAGCTGGTTAAAAAACAATTAAAGTTGAACTAAATTCAAGAGCCTTGCGACAGGTTTTCCCCTCCAATCGATCGGTTCTGCGAGATGATCAGCGTAATGAAATTTATGCGCTGTTCCAGCCCAGTCTGAAGTGTCGGTGATGAATTGGCCTGGCAAAAAAAAAAGAGAAGAAAAAAACCATTGCCAAAAACCTTCATACAGGGTGTCTCGTATAACACTTTCAGTTCGTCAGACAATCTCTCAGAGTTATAACATCTTAAGAATTTCCTCTAAGAAGTTCTAATGAATTCTTACCTGAAGATGTTCAAACAAGATTACCTGAACTTACCTTTTTAATTAGGTTCTTATAAGAAACGGCGGGCTCGTAGCCAGTTACGATATTCAGACCGAGTTGAATTTTGTGAACTTGAAACCTGGGAATTTGTTTATCTGCCGATGGGATCTACATGATTTTAAATATATATTTTGTTTTGTCTTATCTCCATCTCGCTGAATTCAAATCCGCTTGATTGCCATTTGTCAACTGCTATCGCGAATTTGATTTACTCCAAACATATAATGCGAAAATAATTTAATTTTAAGCGATTTGCTCTGAGCGAACTGATTAAATCGGACGATCGCAACGGAAAATCAAGTCATAAATAAATCGGCGCACACTTCCAGCGATCATCGATCATTTGCCGCTGATCTGCGGCCCGAAATGCAAACCAAATTCAATTTTATCGTATCTAAACATGGCTTCACATTTGAAAAACCCACATCAGAGTTTTCTGGCCTTTGGAGTCGGAGTCGCAGTTGGCGTTGCTATATGTTGTTCTTGGGCCCGTTGTGTGTTGTATGTGCGAACACGGCGAGCGGCGGGCGAGGAGCATTAAATCATTGTCCTGAAGGCTTTTAAGTCATTATCGATAAATTTCAACATAAATTCGTAAATTTGCTTTATTTGCCCGGGCCGGTGTGTGAGGTTCACGTCGGCGAAGTGGTTTATGGCTGAGTTCTGCGGCTGTCCGAAATTTGTCGGCCGCCTAATTTGGACCAGGGCACAAGGCAAAATATAACACACAGGTTGATTCATTCAACAAAATATTTTAAATTATCAACCGAAAAATATTTTATATCATATTAGAAATTTTATAAAGAAAAATGTTTATTACTTCTTATTTTGAAATGTTTTCTTAGTATATTCTTAATATTGTACAGAAATTAATTATAAATAGTAATAATTTTCTAAAAATATAAAAAACACGGTATATTTGAAAAAGTAGAAAAATGTAATAGTAAATATATAGTACGAATAATTTTAATCAACAGAAAATAGATTTACACCAAGTTAAAATTTGTAGATAATTATATTTTCGGCGATCTTTATTTCTCTCTGTGTAAATATAGTTCACCCTGAAAGATAGATTTTATTGCGGCTTGTAGTTTTTTTTGTCCCACAATGACCTTGAGAATAGCCGGCCGGACTGGCAATTGACACGTATCGGGCAATCATAATTCATATTTGCCGCAGTTTCCGAGCAAAGAACTCTCACGCTGTGACGTAATTATCGGGATGCCTTGTATTCCGGCCAATATCTACCTGCAATTGTAGCGAACACGTAGGACCGGGGAGGGCACGTCATATATCCTCTCAAGGTTAATGGGCTGTGGGCTGTACAACATTCCGAAATTCTGCAGTTCAAATGTCGGGCAACAGTTGCCACTGCAACATGCAATTAATTGCAATCGCCAAAGCAAAGGAAGTGCGTCGATGATGCCGCTGATTATGTAAATGGCGAAGTGCAAGCGAACGCACACACAGGAAAGCCTTTCAACGCGCGCTTTTAATCATTTTTATTTTTTTCGCCGGGCGCAAAATGCAAAGTCAGAAGATCAGAAACAAATCAAAGCGCCTCTGAGCATCGCAGTTTCAGTTTCTGTGGCGGATGCTAGGGATGCCCCTTGCGAGTCCCCCTGCCCGGGGATCGCTTTTTTCGGGGATTGGTTTTCGGGTTCTGGGGCAGCTTCTTGCATTTTTTTAATGTATTTTTAAATAAGGAATTTAATAAGCACCTTGGCGGTCCTCAAGTCGTTGGACTCGGACTGCGACTGCGACTGCCAGTCGAGGAGACCAAAGTTGCAAGACGTCGACGTCGCCAACGACGACAACACAAAGTGGCCCAGACACATGGCCCAACAACAAAAATAATAACAACAACGAGGAGCTGCAGGGCGAGGAGCAATTTTGGCTTTCCTCTTGTATTTTTCGAGGCCCGCGTAGATGCAATGGGCAAAGGCAACGATTTCTGGCTAAAAAAAAATATGTTAGATTTGTAAATATTGATAGAGGAAAATGTCAGGAAATTTTAATAATTTTTTAAACAAGGTATCAAATAAATATAAAATTAAAAAATTATAAAACCATTATGTATTTATTTTAAAAAACCATATTATTATCAATTTATTTTTTATAAATCTTATATTACAATTATTATAGCTGGAGCCAATTAATTTCAATGAGAACACATAATTCAATATTGTTATTCAAATGTTAAGGTTAATAGCAAAAACTAGGTGGCGCTAAGTTGTTAAAAATTATTATATTCCAAAGTATCAATTCTGAATAGAATAACAATCATTCGCCATTCATAGTTCTCCCCTAAATGCCCCCAATAAAAATGATTAGGTGTTGTATTTTTCATATAATAGCTATAATGTATGGAACCGATCGCAGATAAGAAATAATTAATAGAGTATATGTGTACTGCCAGTTTCTTCCGCATTGTGACATTGGCAGTTTGGCGTTATCGATCATCTCTTTAACATACAAATGCCATGTGAACAAGCAGTTATTATTCATATTTGTGGGCCCACTGTGCGGACGTCTTCTCTTGGCAGTTGCAAAATCATGTTTTAAGGTGTTTTTGATACCTAATAAAAACAACAACACGGCCCGGCCGAAAAGCACATGCACAGGGGGTGAAAAAGAGATGGGTAGAGCCATGCAGCCATGCCAAAAGGGACAAGGGTCGTGAGTACAGGGATATATTCGTACAAAATACGAGGGAGTATGGTATGGGAACATATAGCAGACTTTAGTGACCAAAACACAAGACCACCTTCACCTCCACCCCCCTTAACCCTTTGGTGGCTACGTCATAGCCATATCGCCACTTGGAAGACGCCAACATTGCTGCTCGACGCTCGGCGTGTTTATTATAAAACAACAAATCATTCATTATAACCACTTGTGTGTCTGTATGAGAAAGTGGCGTAAACATGAAAAGAAACCCATACACACACAACCACACTCGCAATTCCATGTTGTTTCCGATAATATGCATATTTGCGTATTATTTTGATTTTAATAATGATTTATTTATTATTAATAATTCATTGGTGGTGGCCTCTTGCCGGGATTTTGTATTGGGATCGGACGGCCTGATTGCGATCTGATCCCCACGAACATCCAAACAGAGAACCCAGTTCTTCGAGTGCAAAAGCTGCCCACTAGTCTCTCCATCGCCATCTCCATCTCGTTTGAATATCGCTTGTCTTCGGGTTGTGTAACAGAAGTTGGGCTACCAGCAAACAAACACGCCGCATCGTAGGAAACGCATATTATAATGAGCTTCAATTAAGATAGAAATCTCCAAGACTAAAAAGACAAAGATTAATGGGTTCACAATTGTCCAGTCGAGTGGCTTCAGGTGGCTATGCCAATAGAACTGCACAGAAAAATATTTATAAAAATATTAATAAAGTAATTAACTAAATATAATTTTTGCCCCTTAAATTTGAAAAATTAACAATATTTTAAAAATCATTTTATTACCAAATTTTGTTTTAATAGGGCATTCTATCAACATTTATTTTTCTCACTGTAGAAACATGTTTCAATGCCACATGTTCACAAGCCTGAAGATCATTAGGCATAAATATTTCTTTCGCGTCTCCACGCCATTCAAAATTTTCAAGAATATTGTATATGAATGAAGAGTTAAACAGTGTTATTTCATGTTTGATTTTTTGGGGGAAAGCCCCCGTCTTTTCCAAACTAGTTGGCACTACCCACTCTATGGTAAAACAAAATTAGGGCATTTCGGATTCGTCGATACCCTCCAGCAAGAGCCTGTTTTGCCAGCTCTCCATGATTTACGAGATCTGCCTCGACCAAAATGTGGGTAACTGTTATAGCAGCTCGGAATATATATTTTTTCGTTTGTTGGGTCATCGATTGGTTCGCCGCATTCTCCAAACATTTGCCTCTATACTATAATTTATAGATTACTATTTTGATTTATCTGGGCAAGAACTTTGGTCAGAACTTTCGGATCCTGCGCCTCCTCTTTTCGGGGGGCCACATTAATGTCAATTTAATGTTTCCTTAATGACATCTTCTGGCTGCAACTTCTCGTTGTTGCTGTTGGCGACCAGTTGTTATCAGTTTGCTGGTCAAAACTGGGAAAGTGTTTATGCTAAATAGCTAACGAGTTTTCCACTCGAAAGTGAATCTCTCCGGCGTTCAAGTTGCATTCTGTCGTCGAGCTGAGGCTCTGCTCAAAGTTCCGTATGCCACATGCTCTCGGCGTCTATTTATTTGGGTCGGCAATTAAGATTTATATCAGCCCCTTTGATGGGGCAATAAAAGGCCAAAGACGCCGCAAGCTGCAGCCGGAAAATGCTCTCGTTCTCATCCCAGAGATTTTCAGACGCCTCTCTTTCTCATTTATGCGACTGGCGGCTAATCCTCCTACAAAAACGAAGCGTGCGCCGCCTTAAAGAGTCATAAAAATCATTTTCCCCCCGCGGAAAAGGTGTGAAAAATCACAAGAGGCGAGGGTTGAGTTTTCCAGGGGCAAGACCGCAAACTAAATGTTTAATTTTTACAAGTCGCGTCGCATGTAAACAGAATTCAGCATCCATTCCCCCTTTTAGCCAGCCATTTGTTTGAATTTGTCTAAAGTGGCTGGGCCCCTTTCCTCTAATTTTTCTTTCATAATTTTCATTTTCATTTACATTTACAGACGGAAAAAAAAGAGCAGAGAGAAGAACCAAGCGTTTGTCAAATTTAAAACCCTTTGCCCCTCATAGTTTTTGGCCGTTTTCTTGGTCTTTTTAATTTAATATTTTCTTTGTTGTTTCTTTGCGTCTGGATGGCCACATAGTATCAGCAGTATCTGTGTGCGGCACTCGGCTTTCGGTGTGTCTGTGAGCTGGAAATTACGTTTACTCAGGCGCCAGGCGCGCATATTTAAATACACACGTGTTTTATCGCTGCCATTAAATCATATTTTTATACTTTTACCTTTTCCACGGCAAGCTGCCGACGCCCCCTCGCACCTCGCCACCCCCCGAACGCCCACTTTTCGAGGCGTTGGCATTTCGGATTGTTTACATTTTGCACTTTCATGGCATAAACAAAGCTGAAGCGACGCTAAATATCGTGAAAAAAGGCGAGACATCCAGCAAACGCGATAGAAAGAGGCGATAGTGCCGTGTCCATGAATCAGTCTAAATGGGATTGATAGCCCCAGTTCAAACTTTGAACGACTCTCGTAGTGACTGGCGAGTTATCAAGAGTTTATAGAGAGAACTTTGAGTGGCTTAGAACTTAACTCATTAGAAATTGGATTTTAAAGGGCGATATCACTGGTATACATACGTCTTTAATTCCTTTTTAATGATCAACACGTAATTGTTGCATACCAATAATTATATGGTTAAACAATAATTACTGCAACTGTTTTCCATAGTGCTTCATAAATTATACATTTGTTCTGGATATTATGCAAAGTAATACTTTACTTAGATATACTTGATCTAATTAAGCAATTTTCTGATTCCATAATTATTTAAATTTAAAAAACAATTTCTTTTTAATTCATGTTAAATTACTTTCAATTATCACATGTATCTTTCCATCTTTCTCTATTCAATATCCATTATCCAACCGAATACAACAAAGCTTTGGTTAGCAAATCTTAACCTGCTCCGCACCACGTGCGGCTGCTTAACCCCAAGTTGCCCCTCCAGATCCCCAGATCCCCACGTACCCCATATTCCAAACACCAACCATCTGCATCTCGAGATCTCTCGAGAGCAAACAATTTTGATTCCACATTTTTTAAACGTTTTCTTCTCTCCGCTTTGCTTGCATTTTCAGGTAAGATAAGATCTGATTTAACACAATACGGCGGCATATCAACAGACATGGGTAAGAAAATTTCCACTTTTATTTCATTACATTATTCGCTTTTAAGTTTTCGCAAAATAGAGTATAGATCATAGAGACTAGTGCAGGTATACTAACAAATCCCTTTTCGGTGTCGGTGTCTAAAATACCCTATCATACGTTATTTTTTTTATGTGGGCTAGATTTATAAACTCTGGGGGCGCGGCTGTGGGTGGACCGGGAAAACCTGGGGGCCGCGTGTGGAAATGATTGATTCACTGTCCCATGATTACGCGCCAGCCGAGAGAGCTCACCATGTTCGAGCTGCTTGCTCCGGTGGCAATTAATATTAAACATGGCAATTCAATTGGCCAACAAACGCGGCCAACACGCACGGTGGGATGAGTTGGGTGGAAGTAAGGGGTATCCAGGGGGGCATCCAGATCTGGGCCCTGTTGGACGCCTCGTTTGAGCGGCTCCCTTTTCCCTATAGTACCTCGTGCTATCAGCTTTGGTTCCTGCTGCCGATCAAGCAGCCGAATTGCGTGTTTTCCCCACATACCCTGCACTTCGGGTGTAAATTCACTTAATTAACAGTTTTTTAGATAAAAATATGAATTTTAAATAGTTTTTGTTGTTTAATTATGCACGTTTATATAGAGGATAAACTGCTACTCTTTTTCTTTGATACAAACAAATGCAATTACATTTTTTAAAGATGAACAATATTGCTAAAAAAAATTATTCTCCACACATAGAAACTAAAATTTTTCCTAACCTATTAAAATAGTGTAAAATTCCATATAATTTTTCGTATCCCCTGATATAAGAGTACATCCCATTCGTCTGAATCAAAAACGTTTACGATATTCGCCGCCGAACGCGAACATCAAAGCCCCAAAGCCACTGAAGGCGTTTATTTCAGCCTGTTGTTTGGGACCTTTTGATGCGAGGTTATCAATCAGTCTTGTCTCGCGCAGCTACTTCTTAAAATCCAATTACACACGTGAACAAGGGGACTTGGGGTTGGAGGGACTCCCTCTGATCAGCGCGGGTCTTGAGCTTTTTTGTTTCTTTTTTGGTTTTGTGCTGGGCAGGCCACTCAAATTACATACATTGTTGGCGGTGCATTGGGGCGAAAAATTGCCGGGCCATCAGCGAAGTTAAGCCACCCAGATGCTCCGTAGTCAGCCACTTGGCTCCCACTTATTATTTATATTCAATTGATAATCTCGTGCAAATCGGTAGCTAAATGTTGGCACAGGCGCAACAAGTGGGCAGCTACTTGGGGATCCGCGATCAGCTATCCCAGATTTGAGATCCACGACACGTACACGGAGAGAAATGGTGATTCTTTCACGGGGTGATCAAAAGAACTGCAATGTTACAGCGCTATCAAAATAGTGGAATTATTACACCCATGATTACAAACCAGTGAACTTAAAAAAACATCATATAAATACTTAAAATACGTAAAATAAATAAAAACCATTACATTCTTCATCTTAAAACAATGTTGGGTTCTTTTACTTGCTAAAACCAAGTTGATAATTATAAAATAGTAATATTTTTGGGGAAATCTGGTAGATAAAAACGATTTGCAATTTTCTCCGTGTGGCATCACTTTTGGCACTCGCAGATAAGCTCCGATAAGCCCGCTGCTCCTGGCTGTGGATTATGGCCGGCACTTAAGGGGCACTTTTGGGGGAGGTTAGGGGAGTGGTCTTTCAGCCAACCAGAGGAACAAACGCTCTCTTCCGGCTTCACTGACATTGAACGCTGCGTTTTCGGTCCGTACCCGCAAGAGATAATTAAATAGCGGCCTTAATAGAATTAAATGCCGTGTTTGCATTTCAAAATCCGCAACGTGCCAAAATGCAATGGCCAACGGGCTGACGCCCCCCAACTCCATTTGTGTGTCCACCTGGCTGGACGGGGAAACAAAAAATGTCAATTTGGACAAGTTTTGATAATTGCAGGTCCCCCTAGTTACTGTGTGTATGTGAGTGTTGCTACTGTGCGGCGTGTTGCAGGTTGCATGTGGCCATGTTGCATGTAGCATGTTGCAGTTAATAATTATTGAAATGTGCGGCCTGCCAGGAGTTGTGCCATGCTCCTTGCGCTTCCTGCGCGGCTTCCTCCATCTGAGTGTCCGTATGGTTGTCCGTTTGTCCGCTTGTCCGTTTGTCCGTCAGTGGCTGCATGCTTCGTTACCTTTTAGCCTGGCCAAAAGGCTAACAATGCTTGCATTTTCCCACCTTTTTCACATAACTTTTTCTCCCTCTCCCTGGCTTTGTTTTGTTTTCTGCGTTTTTTTGTTTCTGTGTGTGTTTTTTTTGTCTGTTTTTCGCCTTGTGTGCTTGCTGGTGGCAGGGTAAACAAGTCGGCCACTTGGCCAACTCGTTACTTCCCGCTAAAAACCCTCCCCTCACATGTCGATTGGCGATGTCGAAGTTGTTACCACTTTGGACGCGCGGTCCGGCCTCCGTCGGCCGGCACCCCTGTAATAAATTCATATTCAAATTGTTAATTGAATATTATTTGTTAAATTTGCAAGCATTAAATGTAAATGTCAGCGGCGGATGTCCGACGCAGGGGGCGTGGCCAGTCGGGGGCGAACGGGAGAGCTCCTTTTTTTATTTGCTCGTATAATTTCGGTGTTCGCTTTTAATTGAATTTATGCGATTTTAATAGGAGCAGGTTCGCCTGAGGGCTTTTCGATTTCGAGGGATGTTTTTAACAAATTAAAGTATAGTTTTCTATTTTTTGAAAGATTATAGTAACTAGTTTGCAGAAAAAACCATTTATTGTAAAGTATTTCATGAAATCGACCAAGTGAAGCCCCCATTTAAAATAGATCGAACACAGAAAACAACGAAACTCGGTCACTGTTCCAACGACCTCAAAAAATCGCCTGCAAATATTCGGAAACACCGCCCCACCCTCAAAAATCAACAAAAAATCCTCCCAGGGGAGTTTTAAAATTTGCAAACGAATGACAAAAAAACGGGCAAACAAAAAATGGTGCCAAATGCGACTGTGAGTATTGTGAATACTCAGGCTCTTGTTCGCTGGTCGTTGTCCTTGTCGTTGTGGCTCTGCAATTTCCATAATTCATATTCATAGACATTACCCAATAACAGCCAGTAGAGAAAAGGAGAAAACGACCAAGAGAAAGAGAAAGAGACCGAGTCCAGACAAACAAACGACAGCACCTGCAATACGGACAAATGTCCGTCCGTAGAACAGCCAAAAAAAAAGGCACACAAAATAAGGAATGTGCAGGGTGCAAAAATTCCACATATGCTAAAAAGCAAAAGAAAGTCCAAAAACTGTCGCATCACACTTATGCATAAATTATTCAAGAACCAAAGCTCAAAGAAGAATTCTGCCATTAATTTGATGGGCTTCAAATCACTGGCAAATTAGGCCAACAACATAGCACACACGGCCATACATATGTAGACAGATACTCCGCTCACACATCCGCATTCGCAACGTGCCGGCAATTTGATTTTACACACTTCGAAATTATTAACTGGGGAGCACTTTGTGTGCGGCAAGTGTAAGTGTTGTACGCTCTCCAGCGGAGCAGAAACAGTTCATAAAATGGCAAAACAGGGCACTTTCGTTTTTACCGTTGGCATTTGCAGCATCTGCAGGCCAAAGGGGGCGAAAATGGGGTGGCCATGGCAAGGACATCCTGGCATGTGTCGCCTGCGAGCCAACGGACATCTGGCCCGGTCAGAGCCGGACTCTCGGACTGAATGTTACCGGGCAGGTTTCAATTAATGAATTAGTAATTTCGGCTTCATTGCCGTAATGAACACTTCGGGGAGGTCTGAACGAGGTGGCAAAGCGTGTGCTAATTATTCGAAGTAGAACTCAGATGTAGATAAAGAGAATATATGAAAATGATAAAACTATTATTTACAATGTTATTCTTAATCCCTATGATATAAAGATGACAATGTGGAGTATACATTTGACAAAGATTGTGTTAAAACAAGTTCAAAGAAATATAAATCATCAGAAATTATTTTATGGCTTATTTTATCAAGTTATATTAATGTTTAAATTATATATTTTATTCTACAACGTATATATATGGTTATAGTTAAACTTTAAAGCACTGATTGTCCATGGCCTAGAAAATAGAACATACTAAAAACCTTTCACACAATTTTTGCTTTTAGAAAAGTACAAAACACCGTGTATTTACTTCCAAAGTCAGTAATCACTCTTCAAATAGCACAAAACACTTTAAACTCCATTTAGCTGGTGTGATTGCAGGCCACGAAAAATGCCATTTGCAGTGGCGTAATTTACCATATCATTGTGTCATTAAAAACGTTTGTATCTTGGATCCGAAGTGAACACAGTTTTCAAATAGCAGTTTGTTTACTAAGCCACACATTTAATGAACGGTTGGAGTTGGAAACACAGATAGATTGTAGATGGGACCACCTCTATGGGGAGTTGCAAGCTAAAGCGATATTTACTCGCGATGACTCCAAATATCCGGGAACCTTATCGCGGAATTTACATCCGTATCTCTTTTGGGCTGCTCTTTCGTTTCACTTTTATTGCAATTCTGTTCGCTCCGCTGTAGGTATGCAATTAGTCAATTAATTTGAAAATTTATTAACCGCCAAAAACCAATTTGCTCCAGATCGGCAGAACACACGAGAAACGAGCAGAGGAACAGAAAAAAAACAAAACAAGAGAGCGCGCTGCGAAGATCGCGAAATGCCGGCGGTAAACTGGCCTCGATCTTGGTCAAGATCACGGCTACGGCTGCAAAAGCTGCAAGATCCGTTCGAGGCGTTGGTCAGCGGACAAATGAAGGGTTCTTCCAAAGGTTGCGGAACTTTCAGCGAGTTAGGGATTTGAAATTAAAGCCCCGAAAGGAGCCTTCATCCCCTCCCGTCTTTCGAATCGTGGAAATGTAGTGCAGATAATTTATGGGTTCGGCGGCAGCGGAAGTGCGTGTGTATCTGGGAGATACGAATCGCAGCGGCTACCGATTTGATTTTCTAGGT